ACGGCTCCTGAAGGCTATGCACCGACTACAGCCGTCTCGACAAGGTGACCATAGTGGATGCTTACCCGCTGCCTCTCCTAGAGGACTGTATCGATGAGATCGGTAATGCCACCTGTGTGTCTAAGTTTGGCCTCTCGAGAGGTTTTTATCAAATCCCTCTCACTGATCGTGCCAAGGAACTAACCGTGTTTATAACACCTGATAATATAATGTTAGTGTATTGTAAAGCTAGGATGTTAGTTATGCTTAGAACCGATTAGTGGAAAGTTAATATTTGTATTGGAGGTTAAGTAAATGTTGCTGTACGATCAGTTAACTCACTCAGGCAGCGTACCACATGGCGAGGAGCTTCTTCTCTGTCTGGACACAGCGTCGGTGGTCGTGTTGGGCTGTGTCTACCTATCTCCTTTATTTTTCTTTTACCTCCTTCCATTCTCTTCTCTCCTTACAACCTCACATCCGAGTCACATTGCTCCACGTGTCACATCCGAGACGCGTGGAGCAAATTCGGCTCCTATCATATCTGGACAATGTCGGCCAGGCGTCAATAGTATGGAGTGTTAGACGCAGCCATTGTTGAGACTAGACCAGAGGCTCACAGGAGCAAATACGGCTCCTGTTAAATTTACTTGGACGTAGTGTTATGGAAACCAGAAGTGTACCATTATCAACACGCTGTCTACAAATCAAGTTAAGTGTTCTTTCCGAAACCCATTATCTATCATTAGTGGCCATTAATGTCATTGGGTAGGGTGACCCGGTTAGATCACGAAATCGCCTCATACTAAAGGTAATTAAGCCAGGTCTTCATGTTCCATGTATAGTTTTCTCTGATATAGCTTGTCATATATAGAATCTGGCTTTACAGCTAGCGCCCTTTTGACAGGTCAAGACGAGGAAGCAAGATTTTGTGCACCAGTTACTGGGTGATGGAAGCTACCTCAAAGAGGATAATTTGGTGTCTACACCCTAGTTATACCTGGTGGACTAACCTGCTGTACTATAAGATAAGGAACCTTTTCAATGTATGTAGTCTATTCCTGTAGTTTGATTGGCTGCATATATTTAATTGATATAAACCCCCCCCCCCCTAATGTGTAGAGGATCGATTTGTGAGATTAAGAGATTATTGCAGAAATACAGTCCACTTATCATTATACAAATTGCTATCGAAGTATATAAATTAACGTAAATATAAATTCTATATATATTCATATAAATTAAATAAATGTAAATCTCACAGGTCCGTTCCCACAGTGACCGTCGTCACAGGAAATATGGCTACACAGACCGTTCCATGACAAAAGCGGGATTGTCGTGAGAGGCTAATTGTTGTTGGTCTCGCTCACAGGCTTCACTTGTCATCTTCGACTCCTTTCCGGGGTCTACTGGCGAGTTTTTGTTGTGTCTTTTAATCAACATGATGAAAATTATGGTGTTGACGGACATGAGACAAGTATAGAAGAAGGCTTCGTGCGAGGCTCGGTGCTTGAAGGCCCCCGTGGCAGAGCTCAGGCTTGTTAGTCCTGCAAAGAGCCACAAGCCGGCAGTAATTGTGAAGAGATTGGCTGCCTGTAGTAAAGATTTCATGGCCATCGGGGCCTGCGAGTAAGCAAAGTCCATGCCAGAGACTGACAAGAGGACATCGCCTATGGTGATGAGGACGTACTGGGGAAGGAGCCATAACATGTGGACGTTTGCAGGGGCCGTCATGGGGAAGAGGAAGACGTCGGTGGTGGTGATGACGATGTCGTACACACCGTCCTGGTACACTGCAGCCTCCCCAACTTCCACCTCTTCCACCATCACCTTGTACTCCTGGGGACTGATGCGCTGGAACTCCGTCTTTCCTTCCAGGAGCTGGAAGTTGTAGAGGATGGTGTCGTACGTGAGCGTCACGTTGAGCTCGTTGTGCGCAGGCGCCAACACCCGCACCTGTCAGGGCGAACCAACACAACTGAACAACACCAGGAAATCAGGCCCTAAATTTTACTGAATATTTATTTCTTAGGCACCATCAGATTAATAATAATAATAATAATAATACTAATACTAATAATAATAATAATAACATTAATAATAATAATAATAATAATAACAATAATCATGGCAAAATGTTGGAAAAATCTTAATTTAGATAATACATTAAAATTTTTGTAAAGCTCAAAATAATTCATATATTTATTATTTTATACACCACTACGCATCTGTTATTGAGTTTTAATGATGTAATTTATTGTTAAATTGGCGTTAAAGTAACACAGTTAATGAGACACTTTCCAGTTGTTAGTTCCAGAAAACAATTTGCTTTAGACTATAGAAATTACTCTCTATAGTCGAGTAATACTATAGAGTATTATAGAGTAGAGAGTAATGCTATATTGACAAAGACTATAGAGATTACTCTCTATAGTCTATGTTGATATCAGCATAGTGTCTTTTACACCTAAGAAACTGAGAGGAAACGATTGGGTACGGAGACTCACTTTGGTGTCTGCATCTTCGTCCTTGATGTACTCGAGTGTGGGAGGGAGAGCCAGCATGCCAGTGGAGGTGACAAGGAGTGTTGTCTCATGGGCACCCAGCACCCTCACTATCACCTGCCTCATGTCTGGGGAGAGGCAGGAGGCTGTCACCTTGGCCTCCACCTCATCACTATATGTGACAGTCAAGCTAGGCAGAACCACCTGGCCTCCGCTCTCCACACTCAGCTGACCGGTCTTGACGAAGGGCACCTCCACCACCATCTGGCAAGGCAGTGCGTTGTAAACGTGGATTCTCGCGTGCTCTGGAGGAATGAAAGTCTGTTCCACGCTCATGTTCACCAGTGCGTAGACCAGGAAGGCAATGATGGTGAAGCACATCCCCGCGATCATCCGGGATGTGGTCTTGGTGAGGACGCCAACGCGGGCCAACAAAGGGTAGACCACAAAATCAAAGAGTGGAATGAGAACTAAAATTAGCAGTGGGTTGGCAGTGGAAGACATTTCTGGCGGGATCCTATAGCTGCCTACCATGCCGTCGAGACGTTTGGCCTGGAATATCATACCAGTGGAGGTTTGGAAGAAGAGAGCCCAGAAGAGCGGGAAGGTGCAGAACAGCAGAAGAACACGCAAAGTCACCTTCACGTCCAGCAGTAACTGAGCATCAAATTTGTCCTGAGCACGGTCAAGCCAGTGCTGCACAGGCTCTCGGTCCTTATCCCAGATCTTGGTGACTGCATGTGCAATGCATCGAACTGCTCTTATCATCATTTTGTCTGGGGGCCCCTCCTTATACTGCGTCCGTCCTGTAAAATTATAAACATATAACGATTAGTAGATATCCACCATTGCCTGATTAAACAAAAAAGACACACTTATGCCCTCGGTGCCACCTCCCCAACAATAAACAAAATTTCATAGCTAATATAGTAGTATAAACGACCTTCAGACACAACTATCACTATATACAGTACTACACATGATCTTTGCTTCCCATTTCCTTCATTCCGCAACATCTTCACCCCAGTTCAACATCATCATCCCTGTTTACAACTGTTATTATGATCACAGACCACACAGTACAGTTGAGCCCAGAGGAGTCTGTACCTGACACACTACAGTAGTGCCCAGAGGAGTCTTATTTTGTACCCAGATTGTTGAAGGAATAAATTTAAAAAGTTCTCTCTTAGAGTGCAGCAGCAGAAATTGTGAATAAGGTATGAATGACCCTCTGTCGGAGTCAGCTTGTTTGTGAAAACATCTGCTTCGCCAGGATGTCCGTAGCGTTCAAGAAGCATCTGCCTCTGTGCCTAATATACTGAGGAGTGATCTGGGCCTAATATATTGAGGAATGATCTGGGCCTAATATACTGAGTAGTGATCTGGGCCTAATATACTGAGTAGTGATCTGGGCCTAATATACTGAGTAGTGATCTGGGCCTAATATACTGAGAGGTGATCTAGGCCTAATAAACTAGGACACAATCACATGTTTGTAGCTTTGCGATAATGTTTCGTTATATTACCCAAATTACATATTAATTCACAGTACTTATATTAAAATACATAAACCAATATTTTTTTTTTAAATATTATTATCCTAGAGGACTGACCAGCAGCGAAGATGACGGTGGAGACAACCATGAGGCCGGCCATTATAATGTAGGAGAGGAAGTAGCAGTCATCACCGAAGCACTGGACAGAGTCTCGTATTTGAGCTGTTATGAATAGCCCGACGAAGGCGCCAGCGTTAACCATCCAGTAGAAGGCGTTAAAGAACCTGCAACAGAAATGACAAGTTGAGAGAATGCTAAGATGACAACTTACCAGTTTTTTGGTTTATGTGCTGTGACAATAATCTCCTTCAAGAGATTGAGCCTGCTCTTCCCTCTACAAATACGTCGCAACAAACTATATAAAACTACTAGGGAAGAAATGTCCAACAACGACAACATCATCTCCGGTTTGCCAGAGCGCAAAACGTATGCAGCCAGGGACACCTGTTCAGACTCAAACCGCCAAACTACCTGTTGATCGCTGCCGGCTCCTCGCTGATTGGTCGCCGGTCTGGCTGCAACTGCACTCGCCCCCCCATACTACTTGATGTCTGGGGTCGCCACGACCTCAGACCTCAGAATATTCAGTGCTTCCACAGTTAACACTTCTCCCGGCTAGACGTTAGCGTGTACTGAGAGAGGTGGTAGCTTAAAGCCAATATTCCAGCACCTCACATTTATTTTGTATTGCACTTCTTGTTATTTTGTCTTAACGTAACTTTTCATTGTGTCATTTAATTATTCTTATTATTTTGATTGATTGATTTTATTATACAAATTTGTTTGTCCATTTTTTCATGTTTTGATTTATTTAACGTAATTAAAATTTCATTGTTAAAATTTACTTGTGTTTTGTGTGTCTTCTCCTTACCTTACCACAGACGAAGTTCCATTTTTTTCTATTTTTTTTTATAACTATGTGACGAGGCCATACCCCTAGCCTTAAACAGCCGAACACCAACGCGTTACCGTCACAAGTTATATGGGGGCCTGTCCTAGGAGCTTCACTCAGGTACTGGTGCCAAGTGGTAATTTATGGTAAGCGTATTTAACTTTGTTAACGTAGTTTTACTATTTTTCATATTCAATTTCATTTTTTATAAGGTGCGGTGTATTGTGCATTACGAGAGTAACATATGGTGAAGGTGAGACAACTTTGGATTACGTGGTGACTGTAGGCCGCAGTCATACTCTTAATTGGTCATCTCTCCCTCCTTGTTATTACTCGTGTTTACCATCTATGTCCCTTGAATATTTCTCATTTTGACAGATCATCATATTGGTACCCTGGTACTGTGGTCTGCCCCGGGTCAAGAGTACCCAATCTTCTGCAATCTGACTGTAGGAGGACAAAGAGGGCCATAGTTCCTCTAGCTCGAACTTTAGTTGCTGAATTGGGACCTCAGCAGCAGTTCTCGTCACCAGTTGACACCTCGCACCCCTACACGTCAGTCAGAGATGATGATACATACAACGGTAGGGAATTAGCTTACTTTTCAGAGCACAAAAGTTCGCTAATTCTGTAAGTATCATATTAAATTCAGTAGGAAAAACTTGCTTTATGTCCTATAGAGACTTGGCAAGGTATGCCTACATCCTTGGACTACCAATTTTACTTTTGAAGCATTTAACTGTTTCATTTGTTTTCGAAACTCTGTTTCATTTGTTAGTAGGATTTTCTTGCCCTTATCCTCTTACACGAGTACCGGGTACAAGATTTCCTGCGCCCTTGATTTAATTTAATCATTTAACATCTTTTACTTAACTTTAATTGTTAAAGATCTCACAGGATAGGTACCAGTTGCCACGTTGTCCTGTTTCTGACATTCACTATTGAATATTCGTGTACCTTTATTTGCTAATTTCACCATGTTTCGTCTCCAAGCTTTCCGTACAAATCCAGCAGGTGAAATAGGGACTTTAAGTCGTGCCAAGAGGACTGAATTACAAACTCTTGCACATGAGTATCAACTAGAAGTTCCCTACCAAGCCAACAAAAATGACCTACACAACCTGTTGCTGGATTACTATTTAGAGCAAGGTAAGATAGACTCTGAAACTCATGAAACTTACTATATTGCAGAAAAAACTGATTTGGCAACGCTGAAACTCAAACTAGAGCTGGCCAAGATTGAAGAACGAACAGCTGCCATACGGAGGGACGAACAAGAACGCGAGGCCGCCTTGAGGAGAGAAGAACAAGAACGTGAGATTGCCTTACTCCAGGAGCGGGAACGAGTACAGCTTGAAACACTCCAGGAGCGGGAACGCGTACGGCTTGAAACCAAACAACGCGAGTTGGAGATTCAACGCGAGCATGACAAGCAACAAGCGACTCTGGCTCTAGAGTGTCGTCAACGCGAAATCGCCTTGGAAACTTCACACTTCACTCAACGCCAGCAAGCTACTGCCAATCTTCCCGTCAGTTTTAATATATCACATGCAAGTAAGTTAATGCCATCCTTTGTAGAAGCAGAAGTTGATGTGTTTTTCACCACCTTTGAAACTCTTGCTAATCAACTCAGTTGGCCTGTCGACCAATGGGCCACACTTCTCAGAGTCCATCTTACAGGTAGAGCTGCAGTCACACTCAGTACTTTGGCGTCTGAGAATGACTACCACACTCTGAAACAAGCAGTGTTGGACGCCTACCTACTTTCCACCGAAAGTTATAGAAGGAAATTCCGTGACCACCTGAAGGCAAGCACCACTACCTTCCTTGAGTTTGCTAACACGAAACGGAGGTATTTCATGAAATGGCTGGAAGCAGCACATGTCTCTACTTTTACAGAACTCGTCAACCTGATGCTTGTTGAAGAATTCTTGAGACGTGTGCCGCCTCCTGTCCGCCTCTACTTAGCAGATAAAGAAGAAACCGACTACCTGAAGTGTGCTAAGTCGGCTGACACTTACAGCCTCATCCACCGGCTGACACCCGAACCATCCTCCAGTAAGAAGTCGTGGTACAGTTACGAGAAGGTGAGCCCCGATCAAGCTGGTTCACAACTGTACTGCAAGTATTGTAGACTCTATGGACATACCATAGACAAGTGTGGTAAGTCTCAATACAAGGGAATCACTGACCAACAAAGACCCAAACCAACTCCTCCTAAGTCCGGTAAGCCTGTGATGAATGTTGGTGTTGAGGTTAATGATCTTTCTCTTTTCAGTAACCACCTGTATACTGGAACTGTCTCTGCCAACGGTTCAAATCCGGAGGGACGTTTCAAATTGAAGATCTTGAGGGACACAGCGGCTCTACAATCGATCATCTTGAAGTCGGCTGTGCCCAACATCACCTACACCGGAGAGACTGTCTTCATCACTGACCTTACTGCTACCACTCCATACCCTCTCGCCAGAGTCCACCTGGATTGTCCCTACGTGAACGAGGAAGTCCAAGTCGCCGTCAGGGAAAAGCCTTTTCCCATGCCTGGAGTGCAACTTCTCCTAGGCAATGACTTGGCAGAAGACCTACAACCGACCAACCTGATCGTCATGGACAAACCCCAGGTGTGTAAATGTGCCAATAAACCCTATTCTAGAGTATGTTCCAGCAGAGGTTCAAGAGAGTGATGAAGTTTCTCCTCCGGTTCTCGTGACCACCCGTGCACAAGCCGCACGTCCATAGCCAGCTGACTCTACTGCTACCGCTGTCCCTCAAGACCCTCAGAAACTCCCCCCGCATCTGACCAAGTTGGAGTTCCGTAAGTTGCAGAGGGAAGATCTTACTTTAACACCATTGTTTTTCCAGGCTGAGACTCAACCCGACAGTATTCCTGGGTTCTTCCTAGAGAACGACTTACTCTACCGCAGATATAGACCCAGTAAACTGAAGGAGGAGGACGATTGGGCCAACATTGAACAACTTGTGATTCCTACCAGCCTGCGGCCCACTATTCTACACCTGGCCCACGGAGCATTCCCCCACTACGGCTTCAACAAGACTTACCATGGGATTCGTCAGACTACTACTGGCCAGGTATGGTAAATAACGTCAAACAGAACGTAAAACAGTGTCATACATGTCAGATGACAGGCAAACCGAACATCTCCATTCCCAGAGCGCCACTGATTCCCATACAGGTGCCTGCGGAACCTTTCCACAGACTCATAATAGACTGTGTTGGTCCTTTACCTCGGACCAGTTCAGGTAACGCCTACATCCTAACCATCCTGTGTCCTACCACCAGATTTCCCATAGCAGTTCCAGTGAAGAACATCACGGCTGCTACGGTTATAAAACATCTATTGAAGATCTTCACTCAATACGGATTTCCCAGGGAGATTCAAAGCGACTGTGGTACCAACTTCACCAGTGATCTCTTCAAAAGGACACTGGAGGAGTTCAACATCAAACAGGTATTGTCCAGCCCCTATCATCCTGCTTCACAGGGTTCTCTTGAACGTAGTCATCAGACTATCAAAGCACTCTTGAAAAAGTTTTGTAGTGAAACCTCGAAGGATTGGGATAAGCAGATTGACCTTATAATGTGTATTTTCAGAAGTCTCCCCAATGAGTCCCTAGGAGTATCTCCTTATGAGATGCTCTACGGCCGTAAATGCCGTACTCCCCTTAAGGCTTTCAAAGACTCTCTCAGAGATGCCACCTTCAGTGAGCATCAGAATGTGCCCCAGTTTCTTCAAAACCTTCAACACATTCTAGAGAGAGTCCACCGCTTTGCCCATGATAATCTATTGAAAGCCCAGGAGAGAATGAAGACTCATTACGACCAGACCAGCAAAGTAAGAAAATTCAAGCCGGGAGACTTCGTCCTTGCATATTTCCCTATCCCAGGTTCACCTTTACAAAACAGATTTTCAGGACCCTACTGCGTCAAAGAGTGCAGGAATAATAACAACTACGTAATAAAGACTCCAGATAGGCGGCGGAAGACCCAGCTGTGCCACGTCAACCTCCTGAAGCAATATAATGGTACTCCTCCCACTGTCTTAATTAACTATTCCACCTTCACAGAACCCTACATCCACAGTGAGACCTTCCCAGCTTCTCCTCCCGAAAGCACTGACAAGGAGTCAGCGCTTTCTAATTCCGAAATCCTTAATGATCTTCCCAAATACTTTCAGGATAATCATAGTGCACCTCTCGTCAAGATCTTCAGAGAACATCAAGAGTTGTTCCGAGATGACCCCCAAGAGTGTAATGTTACCCAGCACGACATCCAACTGCTCCCCGACACCCGGCCGATTCGTCAACCCTTCTACCGAATCAGCCCGAGCAAGAAGGAAGTCATGCGTGCTGAGGTGCAGTACCTCTTGGACCATGGACTGGCTACACCTTGTGAGTCCCCCTGGGCCTCACCTTGTATCTTGGTGCCCAAACCCCAAGGTAAGGTGCGGTTATGCACTGACTATCGTAAACTGAACAATGTCACTGTCAAGGATGCTTACCCCTTGCCAAGGATAGATGACATCCTTGATGCCATTGGTAGTGCCCAGTACTTGTCCCAAGTGGACTTGCTTAAGGGGTACTATCAAGTGTGTCTAACGGAGCGCGCTAAAGAGATATCTGCCTTCATCACTCCTTTTGGACTTTTCAGATATGAACGCCTTCCTTTCGGACTATGTAATGCCCCGGCCACCTTTCAAAGAGCTGTCAACCGTGTCATCCAGGGCTTGGATAACACATACGCCTACCTGGACGATATCGTCGTAGCCTCCAACACCTGGAGTGAACATCTGCTCCAGCTGCGACGTCTGTTCTCCAAGCTCCTGACAGCCGGCCTCACCATCAACCTGGGCAAGTCCACTTTCGCGAAAGGTAAAGTGCGTTATCTGGGTCATGTTATTGGGAGTGGCAGCATAGCTCCGTTAGACTCACACACTCAAGCCATCCAACAGTATCCACAGCCTACCACCAGGAAGCAGCTCCTGCGCTTCCTTGGTCTTGCCTCTTACTACCGTAGGTTTGTGAGGAATTTCAGTACAGTCGCCACACCTCTAATTCTATTAACCAGTCCCAAGCAACGGTATAATTGGACCATACAGCAAACCGTTGCTTTCGAACAACTCAAATTCCTCCTCTGTTCTAACCCCATTCTCGCCTCTCCAGATATCACCAAGCCTTTCGTCCTTCATGTCGACGCCAGTGGTACCGGCGTTGGTGGTGTCCTGATGCAACAACGAGGCGAGGAGGTTCTACCTGTCAGCTACTACAGCTACAAACTGAAACCACACCAGAGGAACTACAGCACTATTGAAAAGGAGCTACTATCCATCGTCCTGAACCTCCAACACTTCGCTCCGTACCTACAAGGCGCCAGGTCTACCACCATCTTCTCAGACCACAACCCTCTCCGCTTCCTACATCATGCCCAATTCACCAACCAGCGTCTTCTACGATGGGCTCTGTATTTACAAGACTTCAACCTGGAGATCCGCTATATCAAGGGTTCTGACAACACCATAGCCGATGCCCTCTCCAGAGTTTATGAAGTAGAAGCGACTCCATCCATTACTCCACCACATAACGACGTACTTCTTCCAGAACCGCAGGCTTCGGGGGAGAGTTGTGACAATAATCTCCTTCAAGAGATTGAGCCTGCTCTTCCCTCTACAAATACGTCGCAACAAACTATATAAAACTACTAGGGAAGAAATGTCCAACAACGACAACATCATCTCCGGTTTGCCAGAGTGCAAAACGTATGCAGCCAGGGACACCTGTTCAGACTCAAACCGCCAAACTACCTGTTGATCGCTGCCGGCTCCTCGCTGATTGGTCGCCGGTCTGGCTGCAACTGCACTCGCCCCCCCATACTACTTGATGTCTGGGGTCGCCACGACCTCAGACCTCAGAATATTCAGTGCTTCCACAGTTAACACTTCTCCCGGCTAGACGTTAGCGTGTATTGAGAGAGGTAGCTTAAAGCCAATATTCCAGCACCTCACATTTATTTTGTATTGCACTTCTTGTTATTTTGTCTTAACGTAACTTTTCATTGTGTCATTTAATTATTCTTATTATTTTGATTGATTGATTTTATTATACAAATTTGTTTGTCCATTTTTTCATGTTTTGATTTATTTAACGTAATTAAAATTTCATTGTTAAAATTTACTTGTGTTTTGTGTGTCTTCTCCTTACCTTACCACAGACGAAGTTCCAGTTTTTTCTATTTTTTTTTTTATAACTATGTGACGAGGCCATACCCCTAGCCTTAAACAGCCGAACACCAACGCGTTACCGTCACAGTGCAAAAACGAATAAATAACTCCATCATTTCAACAAAATTATAAAGTGTTATTGAAGCAAACTAAAATGCACACATCTTATATACATATTTGACTAAATTATTTGATAAATATGACCTTGAATTAGGAGCCATGATCCTTCTTCCATATTTTTCCATCATTAAGCATTAAGTCCTTGTTAACGCTTTCCTCAGAGAGTCTATTTGGGATCTTTGCTGCAACTTTTTAATTGCACTTCCTACCGTGTATAGCAAGGACAAATATCAGCCACACTACAAACCCATCTAACTCCTTTACAAAACGCACCAACCTGTGAACACCCTCTTCCCAGCCTTCCCTCACCCATCAATATCCTCAATTCGTCCCCTGATAAACCTCCACACTTTAACATACCTCTTCTGTTGCTCCCGTTGTTCTGGGACTTTAAACTGGTCGGCCCCAAGGGAGGTGTATGCAGCTTTCATGAGCCCTGTGCAGACACCCATCACCAGCATGCCCAAGACTCCTGTGAACTTGGCGGCGCTGAAGGAGGCCATGATGGGAGTGACCGAAGAGAGGGTAAAGATGGCGGCGCCCACTGCGCAACCACAGCACATCAGGAACACTATGCGAGCCTGTATGAGGAAGGGGACACAGGCTAAGAGATGTTGAAGAGGCACGGGGAGTATAAAAGTGTGAGGTTGCTTGAGCGAGAGTGAAGTTCAGCTTGGAAGATACATACAGATAACAGAACCTACAGTGATCCACAACTCAGTTCTCTGCTAGAGTCAAACAACTTATAGGTTCTAAGTTATTTATTCATTTATTTATTTACTTATTTATTTATTTATATACATGAAGGTACATTTGGGATTGTACCTAAAAACCCAGAAAAATGTATGAACAAAACATAATGAATTACATCACCCAATGTCAGGAGGCGGAAGACAAGTTTATCCCGGCCCAAAATAAAAATAATGAAAAGCCTAAGAGGAATCCGTGGCTCAATCAGGTATGTAAGGAAGCTAAGCAATTAAATTTAAAGGCATGCATAAACTACAGAAATAAAAGGACACCAGAGAGCACGGGCAGATACCTGAAGCCCAGAAATGAGTACTTCGGTGTGAGTAGAGAAGAAGTGAGACAGTATCACTGTTATAGCAAATTTAAACCAAGACCCAATCAAATCTGCTCCAGAGCTCCATCAAGAAGGAAATAACAGTGAAAGATCAAGTGATAAAACTGAAAAGGGTGTTTCAGCGTCAAGAGTCATTTTTACCCACCTAGAAAGATCACAGACGGCCCAAGCTGAAATTCAAGTTAAAAACTTGAGAGTATTAAACACAATCTTGTGTAATATTTGGCTGTAAATGGTTAAATTGAGGCAGATTGCAGAACAAAATGGTGCCCAGGCAGGCAGCGACGCATCCGAGACCATGTGGAATGCAGAGACGCATGCCTAAGGCTCACTCAAGACAGGTGAGTGGTGGTGGTGGCGGCTCAAATGCTCGACCAATCATTGACGAGCTTTCTGTGACGCCATCGGCGAGCACCGAGCCCACCCTTTGAAGCGAAGCCATGCTCACGATTCAGTTAGAATCTGGACAGGGAGGTTGACCTTGGGGGAGGGGGTCGCCTGAAAACGGCAGATTTGAATATTAAGTAGCGAGTTAAGCTAAGAAGAGATGCAACAGGACTTCGACCACACCTGACACGCCAAAGGGATCTTTCTGGAAGAAGGTTGGAAAAAGTATTGTCGACAAAGGGACCTGCTGACAAGTGAAAGGCATACGATAGCATGCCAGGTTCAGTGAGGAGGTGCTGCAAATACCTTCATTCGGACCTTGGTGGATCAACGAGAATGAACTGACCGTCGAAGTCTAGTCACGGTCCTGACCAGTTGTTGGAAATCCAACACACACAACATGTTAACTAGTAACCATCATAGATGTAGTTAATTTACTATAGTTAGTCTCTAAATAAGGAGAATGGGATTGTGACGTCATAACAAATATATATATACATCACGTATCCTAAAAACACCAGTTTAAGCATTTAAATTAATAGAAAACTCTTATATATGTTTTAACTTCATTAAATATACCATACAACTACAGTGTCCTTTGTTATTGTTAAATTGGTGTCATCGAACAACATCGGTGTTCCTCAGGACAGCATACTTGGCCCTCTCCTCTTTCTCATCTACATTAATGAACTTCCAAATGCCTCCCAGCACCTCAAACCAATTCTATTTGCTGACGACACAACCTTCATTTACTCCAGTCCTGACCCCCTTGCTCTAAATGCCACAGTAAATACTGAGCTAAATAAAGTCCATCTTAGGCTAACTGCCAACAAACTCACCCTTAACATTGACAAAACTTTCTATATTCTGTTTGGCAATAAATTCTCTAATCAAATAAATCTAAGAATAAACAATACCCAAATTTGTAACAAAATAGATGGCTAATTCCTTGGCGTTCTCATTGATCAAAAGCTGAATTTCCAGGGACACACTCTAAATATATAAAAAAAAGTTTCAAAAACTGTTGGCATTCTTTCTAAGATCAAATATTATGTACCCCGCCCTGCCCTGGTGACTCTCTATTACTCCCTCATCTATCCATATCTCAACTATGGTATTTGTGCTTGGGGTTCTACTACCCAAAATCATTTACGTCCTCTAATTACTCAACACAAAGCTGCTATTAGGACAATATCCAACTCTGTCCCCAGACATCACTCGGTACCCCTAGTCAAATCTCTGAATATGTTAGATATTAATTCACTGCACATTCTCTCATGTGTATTATACATATATAAAACGCTGAACTGTAATGCCAATCCTGACCTCAAAAGCTTCATTGAAGGTTGTAACAGAACCCATGAGCACCACATCAGAAACAAATACAGTTTTGATATTCCAAGAGTACGACTTAATCAAACTAGAAATGCTCTACAAATCAAGGAACCCAGAATGTGGAATGACCTTCCCAATCATGTTAAAGACTGTACCTCTCTCAACCAGTTTAAGATAAAAACGAAGCACTACCTAATAAATTCCCTGTAACCTACCTTACCCTTCTATTGTCAACCCATGTCTGTTTTTTTAGACACCGCTGTTTGTCGACCTAATTGTATTTGTGCTGCTTTTTCAGCCATGTTCCCCCCCCCCTTTTTTTATTTGTTCTCAACACATTTTATTCTTTATACTTAATTAGTATTAAGTTTTAGTCATTAATGTTTTTCCTGCCCGAAACGCTTTGCGTCATAGTGGCTTTAGGCATTAGGCATTGTATGTACTAGCTCTATCTATAAATCTATCATTTTTTGTAAAATCTCTTGTATGTATGTACCTTACCTGAATAAACATTTATTATTATTATTTATTTATTATAAATAAACCAAGAAATAATATTGGAACACTGCCTTGAGGAGGGAGGCGGTGAGTAATGATCGGACAGAAAGTAAACAAAGACAGCGAGAGGTCTTCTGAGGTTTGCAACACGCATCACATACGATAGACTATTCTATCCCACAGTGCATTGCCACAACAACCTCTACAACAACGGGACAGAGTTGAGTATCTGTCTTGCCAATTATCTATGACATGTTCTTGGCCATGAACTGTTAAGATAGGTTATGCAGTGGGGCTTAACCCCAAACAACGTGAGTTTTGTTCTTTACTCAGCCTCACACTTCATCTCATATGTCACACCTGTACTTTATATGTTTTGTGCATTTTTATACCCCCATTCCTTCAGCAGGTAAGCTTGTGACTTGGAAATATTAGTTGAGCTGACCACCAGCATAACCTGTGATGCTTCCTTGCAAGATCTGGCTACAGACGCCATTACATGGGCCAAAACCACTGGACCATATATAGCCAAACACAAAAGATGTTGGAACAACTCTCTCAGACTGCCTAATCAGGCCATATCAAATTCGAATTCAAAAATTGAAATGTTTATTCAAGTAAGAGTACATACATAGATGAAGAGTTACAAATTATTGTAACTCATCGCCTGAGTTATTGAGTGACTCATGAGTTATTGTGACTCATCGCCTGCACAAGAGTTACAAACATAATGTTTGATTTATAGATAGAGCTAGTACATAGAATACCTAAAGCCACTAATGAGCATAGCGTTTTGGGCAAGGTGAGGGAGGAAAAAAGACATTTAGACTAAAACCTAATAGTAAATAAGATTAAAGTATAAATTGTGTTGATGTTACGACCCTGGGTTCCTCAGATGGAAACCAGAGGTCAATTTGAGCTCTAGATAATTACTATACATTAATTCATAGAATTGGATCATGTGAGAAGGATATTTAATTACAATAATATTTATATCAGGGCTCCTTAAAAATCAGGAGTATGCCTTATTCCCATCGCCCTTGCCAAACGTAAGATGAATCTTGTTTCTAACAGAGCATCCAGACTGAGCTTGTTGTTGATTAATTATAACGTTGAACTAATTATCAACTATTCTTAGAACTATTAAAGTAACCAGTTTTTACGTCGGTGAAGATTTGTAATGTTTATAAGCTGCATGATCAGCTGGTTGTCTTCCCGGCAACAACAACTGGAGAGAGCTCAGACTGGAGGCTCCTGGGTTCTTCTCTGTTTGGGCTGTGGTCGTGACAACATCTTCCTGTGCGGCTTTGCTTCCATTCCTCTCCTCCTCCTCCCTTTCCCTTACCTTAAGCTAATGAAAACTACTAAGATAAGTACAAACCTGCCTTACCGTGCTACTAGCTAGGCTTATGTGTGTAGTATAGATATTGTGTAGTATAAGCCAGTGTTTTGGGCATCCCTAAGTGTTTGTGTTGTGATAGGGTACCACGTGGGGCTCACTACCCCAAGCTGCTTCAAGCTTTAGAGTTCTTTACAAGTAGACTTTACCCTAGCTTGTCCTAATTGTAAAACATTGTATCCTGCTTATGTGGACCAAGGCTTTTAACGTAAGATAGTGTGGTAAAGTAGTTATTGTTATTGTTGTTAATGTATATGGGGGGTTGTTAAGAGGGTTTAATAAATAAGCTAGTTTTAAATGAGTATCCATTCTTCCTGTGTAGGGGGTCAGTGATAATCCGCTAGACTGACATATTTTCTTAAGCCACTAAGGGGGCAACAGGTTGGTTACCAAAAAGTTGTTCAATGTCAACCAATATTTTTTGACTAGTTGAATATGAAAAGGGCTGCAATTGTCCCAAGTTTCAGTACTTCAGCGTAAATAGAAAGGGAGATTTTTTCAATGTTTTTTATACATTTTCAAGTCTGAATAAATAAACACACGTTTCAGATATAATTACTCTGTGACACTTTTCTGACACATTAGCATATAATAAGGGATCTGTAGACAGATAATTTCCAAATCATCTTTAGTTTTCCTAATACAAATTTTCAAAGTTCCCCCCCAAAATTATGCAAATATGGCATGTTTATTGCTATTATAAATTCAATAAATGAACTTAGAGAAAAAAGCTATTTTCAAAATTTAGAGACATGCACTCTACATATACTGTGTAAGTTTCATGTAAATTGAATAAAAAATGAAAAAGTTATTTGAACGTTTATGTTAATTAAAAAAAACAGCAAATAATAAAATCTAAGGTTCTAAAATCTGTGGCT